CAAACTGTGTTATATTTCACCCAGGAGGTACCAAAGGCAATTTTAAATGATGAGATATGGCCAACATTAAAAACAAGGTCATTATCATCAGATGACAAATTAAAAGAAATCTTTCCAATTCTCAGAGGTCTGAGATTTTTTAAAAAAGCTTTTGAGAACTCTCCTGCACTGTTGGTGGGAATGCACAGCAGTACAACCACTAAGGAAAACTGTTTGGAGGTTTCTCAGACTGCTAAAAATGGAGCTTCTATATGACCAAGCAATACCAATCCTAGGTATCTTCCCAAAGGACACAAAAACACTGATTCAGAAAGACACCTGCGGCCCTCCCTGCTGGCACAGCACTCAGAAGCTAAAAACCACTTCAACATGAGTTCGATCCCCGCCTGTCCCAGAGGTGACCACATGGCACGGCAGACATCTCCTGACCTGGCAGACATCTCCTGACCCGCCTGCTGCTCCCCTCAGCAATGTACTTTGATGATCTGCCTGTTCTGCTCCCCACTCTGTCCCTGGTGAATCCTCTCATGGCTCCTGCACCTCTGGCTTGTACCCTAGGTCTGAATGCATAAATACATAAATCTTAAAAAAAAAAAAAAGACACCTCCATACCCATGTTTATTGCTGCTTTATTTACAACTGGAAAGACATGGAATCAACCCAAATGCCCAAAAGTAGATGACTGGATTAAAAAGATGTGGTACATATACACAATGGAATATTACTCAGCCATCAAAAAGATAAACTCATGCCTTTTTCAGCAACATGGATGGAGCTGGAAGGGATCATGCTTAGTGAAATAAGCCAGAAAGAAAAGGGAAAATACCAATGGTTTCACTCATGGCAGGAGCATAAAGGACCAGGGGTGAATATAATAATAATAATAATGAACAACTATATACCAGAGACATTTTATGGGGGTGGAGTGGGGTATGGGATCAAAAATGGGGGGGCTCAAGGGGATTGCAAATGAGATGGAAATATGCTCAAAATGATGTAAAAATAAACGATTATATATATATATATATATATTAAAAAATGAGGGGGAAGTGCACTGGACTATGGTGATGGCACACAGGTGGATTGGTGGTGGGAAGTCCATGGGGATAACAATTGAGATGGAAAAAAGGCACAAAATGATGTAAAAACAAACTATAAAAAAAACAAACTTTGAAAAGTTAAATTTTAAACTACTCTGACTCAATTACTACGTAGGTCTTCCCATCAAGATGGAAGGAAAAAAGGAAATAGCTTTCAGTAAAAAGCATCCCAACAATTCAAATGGTTTTAGAGATTGTGAAAACACAGCATTTTTGCCTCCGTTCTCTCCCAAACTGAGGTGTCTGAAAATACTTGCAAGTAGACTGTTCCCAACCATTAATATAAATAAGCATCTGGGTTATAGCTGGTAAAAATGCAGAGTCCAGGGTTCTACCTCCTGAGGGTCTTACTCAGTAGGACTAGGGTGGGAGCTCTGATGGAGTATTGCTAAGTTAGCACCCAGCAGCTTCTTGCACACATTCTCCTCCTCCCTCCATCAGGGAAAAACCAGCAGAGAAGGCTCATTTGCCTCACCTGCATTACGAACTAAGAGTAGCTCTCTGCCTACTTATGACTGTGCAGGTGCCTCTCTCTTTCTAACAAACCTGCCCTTTTAAAATAAAAAGAAAGAAAGAAAAGGCCTAGGTGGACACAATACTTCTGACATAATGACTTAGATCCCTTTCTGGAAAACCTAGGGACAAAGGACCTCCTTACTGTGCTCCATTCTCAAACCAGACATTCAGAGATGTGTCTGGTTTGTTCTTTTCCACAAGGACCATACAATCAATAGTAAATACAGTGTAATTAATATAATCAATGAAGACTCAACTAGTTGGAGCGGCCCAAGGTATCTTGGACAGGAAAAGGCCCAGAATGTATTAATTTTGTTCTGAAGATTCCTAAAGACTCTCTCCCTTTATTTAATTTTTTAAAAAGATTTATTTATTTATAATGAACAGCTATATACCAGAGACATTTTATGTGGGTGGAATGGGGAATGGGATCAAAAACAGTGGGGGGAGGGAAGTGCGCTGGACTGGACTATGGTGATGGCACATGGGTGACTTGATGATGGGAAACCCATGGGGATTACAATTGAGATGAAAAAATTTGTACAAAATCATGTAAAAATAAACTATTATATTATTTTTAAAAAAGATTTATTTATTTATGCATACAGAACTGGGGTACAGGCCAGAGGTACAGGGGTGGTGAGAGGATTCACCAGAGACAGAGTGAGGAGCAGAATAGTCAGATGACAAAGTACACTGTGAGGGGAGCAGCGAGTGGGTCAGAAGAGCCTGCCATGCCATGTTGGTAAGCTCCGGGGTGGGGAATCGAACTCATGGTGAAGTGGCTTTAGCCAATTTGTGCTGTGCTTTAAGCCGCTGCACCACCAGGGAGGACCCTCTTTATATAAAATTTTAAAGATTTATTTATTTATGCATACAGAATTGGGGCACAGGCCAGAGGTGCAGGGGCGGTGAGAGGATTCACCAGAGACAGAGTGGGGAGCAGAACAGGTGGATTGAATGAAATACACTACTGAGGGCAGAGCAGCGGGCAGGTCAGGAGAGGTCTGCCATGACGCGTGGGTCAGCTCCCTGGCTGGAGATGGAACTTGTGCTGCGGTGGCTGAAAAACAGGCTGGTAATGAAAATCTTCTGAAAGTCTTTAGTGAAAACTTCTAGAGGGCATGGATCTTTTTCTTTAACTCCTGAGAGCCTGAACAGATAGGGGCTCTTTCAAGATGTGCAGGGTAAGGGAATTTTGATCAGGTTTCCATCCAATAAAAAAAGGCCAACAAGTAGTTGAAGAGAAAGAAGTTGAAATTGCTGTTAAAGTGTATTAGGTATTAGACACATTTAATACTTATTCCTTAAGAGTTGGCTTTAAAGTTGCAATCCCCTATAGTTCCCACTTTGAAAAAGCTGTAGATCAGCTAAAATCTCTATGACATAAGGAAACTTTCAATTCATTTTATTTGTCAGAATTCTGTGGAAAATCACTAAGCACAGAAATATATCATCAGCACAGAAATTTTAACACTGCTTTACTGAGGGAGTTCCCCAAATAATATGTTTAATTGATGTACCAATTTTCTCTAAATTATTCAATGTACTTTATGATTTCTAGCAATGTGGAATATGAAACATCATGAAACATTATTCTTATTTTGCAACATGAAAAAAAACCAGTAGGTTAAGTTGGTATATTGGAAGAAAAGAGCATATAGGCCTGTAGTCATGCATATTTGGATTCAAATTCTAACTCTACCACATATAAGTTGTGTGAATCTAGGAAATTACTTCAACTTGTTTTCCCTGTGTATACCATGGGGGAAATGATACTAACTTCACCATAACTTGAAAACTTAAAAAATGTAAACTTAATTAAGATAACTACTTCACCCCTGGCACTATTTAAATGTCAGGTAAATTTATAACCAGAAACATCTACATGTCTAGATCAGAAAATTGTAAAAATAATAATGATAAAGTTCTAGTCCTCCTAAGTATCAGTCTAAAATTATCAAACAAACGTTCCCAATCAAGAATATCTTTTTATAGTTTTGTAAGCTTAGGAGCCTTTCACAATTAGAAGATTTTCAACTTATTTTATAATTCCTATTCCAAAACAAGACCTCTATTCCTTTGACAGTTCTTCACTAGTCCTACTATTTTCCTAACTCCATACCATCATTTTCAAAACAGACCTGTTTTCAACACATTTTCAGGCCCTTCTCCTTAAGTCTTCCCTTTTTAATATCCTACTATTTTAGTCTGAGACCTCTGATCTAACACAAAAGATCCCCATGTCTCCCAACAAGTCACTGAAATGAAAGCTTTAGTATGCAAGTTCTTGTACCAAGTTAATTCTTACAAGTACTTGATCCTTACAATAGCCCAATAAGACAGACAAAACTGATGTCATATCTGGATCTTATAGCTAAGACCAAAGTGCATGGCCTTAAAGTATCATAGGCCAGCCTAGAACTCGAAATTTCAGATTCTACGATCAGTAATCTCTCTGCTCAACTCTTGCATATTCTTTATAACATTTTATTCACAGAACATGGAAGAAAACCCTCTTTGTATATCCTGGTATCACCAGAGCAAAAGACAGCTTCCATCCTACAGTTTAGTGTATACTAGACTATATAAACACCTCAAACAACCTCAAGGCACTGACGCTAAAGTTACTTTCAGTGGTCCCTGCAGAGTCTTCAAGTCAGGAAGAATTGCATGGAAAGGACCAAAAGGCCTTGGACACAGTACCTCCGTGGCGCCCTATATATTTCTCCACTTCTGCCCTCTTTCTGATTCCCACGAGTTTTCTTCGGCCTAACATCCCAACGAGGACCATACTCAACCACAAATGATACTACTTGCCAAACAGAATGGTGTCCCATGTACGCCTTCCTCGCCAAGCACAGCAAAGATGCCTGGCACATACACGGGTGTCCCTCCTCTGTCCACACCCCCAGCCAGAAAAACTTCATCTTCTGAGCCCGGACCTTCTCGGGCCTCTCCCCTTCAATGCCCCACGCTCACCCATGCACCTCCTCCAAAACCTCCTAGCCTCCCGGGTTGGCGGACTATACTTCCTATCTCTCCGGGCCGGAACAACCTGGCCTGCAGCCCGCAGGCCTGATCTGGTCGGGGCAGATCACCGGCCCTTTGGGTCCCCCGAGCCCAAGGCCCACCAGCCCGGTCCCTGCCCCGCCTCCCCGCCCAAGGCGCCAAGATCTCCGGGTTGGGGCTCCAGGCCCGGGCCGGACTCCGAGGGCGCCCGGCACTGCGGGGAGGACAGAAAGGAGGCGGCAGCCGCGGTCAGGGTTCGGGGCGGGTCTGGCGCTCCGGCGGGAGGCCCCGGGCCCCGCCGGTTCCCGGCTCCCGTGGCCCGGACTCAGCCCTCCCGCTCCGCCAGCCCGCGCCTTCGCGGCCTGCCCTCACCTGATCCAAGTTCTCATCGCTGCCGCTGTCTTCTGTGTCCGAGTCGATCACCACCCGGCCTTTCCGCTTCTTCACCATGGTGGTCCCCCGGCTCCCACGCCGGACGCCGCCCGGACTCCCCTCTTGCCCGCCTGCCAGTGGGACCGCCACTGCCGCCGCCAC